GCATCTAAACTACAAACCATGTACTTATATTTGTATCAGTATTATATCTGTACAAAGTGTTGGCATTGTGTTGTAACATATTCCACATCCTTGGCTTGTACTATGAAGGATCTATAAAATTTAAATAAATTCTATTCAATTCAGGATGCAGTTAATGAAACAAGTTGGATAAGGGTTTGAAAGATCACAAGAAAATTACTGAAGATATTTTTCAACTGTACATAGCAGAAAGACTGTGGATAATTACGTGGGAATGATATGGAGGGAAGCAGTTATCTCCTATTATTGCTCTTATGCTGTGACATACAACTTTAAGTCAGATGTTTGTGCAGTACCTCATACTGTGAAATTTGACTTTAGTCCACATTAAAGCACAATCTTCTCATTTAGCTGCAACATTTTACTTTACTCTTTGAGGTATAAAAAACATTCTTGTTGGTATATGTTACAGGGCTGCCATACTGTTTAAAGTCATGTTTTCAGATTAATTTGATGTTTCCACTTTAACTGGTTAAATGACTGTAAAAAAGTGTTTTGTAAACATAATATTGAATATCTGATCTGTTGGTAACTGTGATTTATTCACATGTGCTCATAATAACTTGACCCTCATAAGGAGTTTACATTTGTAACTTAAAATTATATTCTTTTAGCAAAGCAGTGAAAAAATAATATACAGGCTAAAGGTCAAGGTAATATCCTGCCATTTTCTTGGAGGGATTAAGGTAAACCATGACAATCTTCAGTCAGGATAGTTGGTTTCCTGCCAAAGATTCTAATCTGGGATATCCAAATGTGAAAGAAGAGTACTAACTACCCAACCACAACATTCAGTTTAAATGTGTGACTGAACAAGCATAAGAAAGTATAAACTACAAAGGGGATATGGAACCATATGTTTAGTATATTTATTTAATTTAAAAATGTATATCACATACTGTTAATATCTATCAATCAAATATGTGACATCCAAATGAGGTTGGTCATACAGAGACACATAAAAAATGTGATATCACGTTATGTAGTGCTATGCACATGATGCAGTGAAAGTAACCTGTAGTGCTTGCAAAAAATAAGAGTGCATTGTAATATCTGGTACATTCACACACAAATAAGTCACATATCTGAACTCAAAGTTCTGTTATGTAAATTTCATTGACAGTATTAACAAAGTCCTGGAAATCTGCTATCACACTGGCAACACCTTGAATGTAACATAAATGTTCATCTCATATATTACATATAAAACAATTCAAACACAATTGTACATAGAAAACTGTGACAATACCACTGCAAAACATTAATGCATGTGGTAAAAGTGTACATTTTTATTAACCCTCTGCAGTCACATAAAAAGTTATGAATTTCTACAACCAGGTCAAATGCTTGTTGGAAAGAAAAGAGCATGTTGATAATATATCAACATGTGACCATCGAAGCATATTCCAAGTGGCAATCATATATTAATATATGATGGAAAGGGGTTAAGAAATAAAAATAGGTTGGTGCCTAAAAATTTCAAAAAAATATATAAAACTTCTCAGTAACCAGAGGAAAAAATAAAAACTTCAAAAATAACCAACAATAAAATTGTACAAGACTTGATGATTTCATGGTGAATGAATGCGATTTATTCTCAGGAGATCTACCATGCCAACACTGAATAAATTTCTAATATTTCAGAGACAGTATCTGCTTCCATCACTAGAGACTGATGTGATGAGTGATACAGCTGTTTGTTGTATGTGTATGTGTGTGTGTGTGTGTGTACATGTATATACATGCATACAATTGGCTCTCACAGTCTAGTGTCCTTGAAGAGTGAATTAACAGTCATCCTACCTATGGCTACAGTCCATGTTTAACCCTTATTGTAAGGTAATAGGCGATTCAAACCCCTGTATTATGAAGTTGACAGCTGGACTTCAAACTTTGAGGTTAATGGTTTAGCAGTATTCTATGGCAACACAGTCAGATAAAATGCTCATAATCTGCACCACAATGGACGATAAAAGGTTAATCTGGAAAATCTAAGATGTAAGCTACATTTAGCCCTTCATTCTGTGGATCCTATTTGATGTATGCTGATGGATTTTCTTTGTTGAAGTGTGCTGGTAGTGAGATTCCAGAATCAACTTAAGTATGAACCCTGTATCTTCGGTGAAGTTGCCTGAATGTCATTGAAACTAAATGGCCTCTTTCACTAAGTGATACTTTTAGCTGGTACTGTAGTTTCCTTATCGGCATATCAAGGAACAGTATGTTAAACTTTTCAATTCCCATTGTCAACTTGATGTTTGGGTGGATGTTACTGAGATGCATCTGGAAATCCTGAAATTCTTTCTTGCCATGATGCAGATCACGAAAGTGTTGATGTACCTGTAGCAATATGTACATTTTGTAAAGAAATGAACTTAAAGCCAGCTGCTCAAAATTCTCCATGTAGAAATTGGTCATGACTGGAGCAAATGATGACTACATGATGATACACCAATTTCATCATATATCATCCCATGTACAGGAAGTATGTTGAAATGAGAAATTATATGAACAGCTCAATGGACCTAGATTAAAAATTAATAATTTTAAGATTAAACAACATTAACTATAGCCCTGGGTAGGTTGAATGAACAACTGACTTTATCTACTGTTCCCCAGTTGGTCTGCCCTCAGCCAGGGACACAGATTCCAGGAGCCAACTGTATACAACAAACATGCATCTCTCATCACACAAATTAATGATTATGGAGGCAGAAACTCACACACAAACAATGGAAACTTATTCCACATTGATATGGCTGGTCACTTGAGAAGACTTCATTACAAGAATAACATGAATTGCTATTAAAATGTATGCCATTATTTACACTTGTTAAAAACAAACAAAATACTGTTCCTGCTTCTAATTCATACTCCACACTTCCTTTTCACTGATAAAATGAAGCAGTATTGACATTCATATAACCACTAGAATTCTGTGCTAAACTCATAGTTCCTCCTGGCAAGGCAACAACACTAGAACACTGAAGTCCTTGTGCACCTGACCCTTGGACATTCATTAATGGACTCAAAACATTTTGTGTGGAAAATGTGTGTAGGTTCAGTTGCATGGCATGATGTTGCTGAGAGATCATGTCTGATGCCTGCGGTAACTGCAGGTCTTGCAGATTCACAGGTAATATATACATGTCTTGTGATGTCGCAAGAGATTGCATTTGATTGTGATGGATTGATGATGACATGTGATCAGCACCCATTGGATTTAAAGTCTGAAGACCAACAACATTCACACCAGAATCCTTCTCTCTACTTATCTTCTTTGGTGTCTTCTGTTTTCTTTCTGCTTTATTTATTACCTGATTTGATTCCACTTTGTCAGTATCCTTTAGATGCCAAAGTTTCTTCTTCAGAGTAAGGAAATCATGAAACTTGAATTCCTCATGAAATACCCTGCTGTACAACCAATGTTTTACAATAGGTACATGGCGTTTTTTATCTTCTTGATTATTGTGAGATTCTTCATCTCTGTTTATATATCGAGATTCACTATGATGTCCTGAAATGAATGTGTAAAAGATACATAAATATAATCCTTACACATGATATGCAAATTTTCTTTATTTTACTGTATATTCCTTACCCATAAGATTGATGTTATGATTCATTCCTGTCATCTGAAAATGTGTTAGGTCAGGTACATGCGCATAAGGACCAACATGCTGATGTGTAAGACCTTGATGACTTTCCATTCCAGAGAAACCAGGCAGAGAAACACCTTCATGTGGTACTTCAATACCATTGGTTGGATGTGACATGTTAATCTTTTCATTACCAAGATGCAGAACATAAAAATTGGGATCAAACTGTTCCAAATAATCTTTCCACATTTTTGTTATGTTTAAATCAGGCCCATTGTGTTTTTCTTCTTTCAAGAAATCCCTCACCTGAAAGACAAATTTTAAGAATGCTTAAATACATATAACATAATAAAAACAAAGAAAAAATTAAAAAAATCATTCAACATACATACTCTATCAGATTTTATTATGGAGTAAATGTGATCCTTGATCTGAGTCAACGTTTCAGTTGAAACTTTGCGTGGCCTGTTGTCATGTTTTCCTCTACCATCACGTGGGAACATTATATTTTGATCTTGCTTCTGACACAAAATCCTAATCTTATGCGGTGAAATGCCATGTATATGGGCAAACGCAAGCCTGCAAATTTGTATTTCTTTCCCTTTGGTACGAACAAAATATTTATAGCTACATGTGCGGCGATCACTTTCCTTACTTCTCTTCCGAGCAATCTCAGTTTTTCGAATGAGGCCAAAAAGATAAGCGTTTTGTTCATCATGGCTATTTAATGAGTAATAGCCAACAAACAACTTATGCCTTTCTTCTTCAGTTACCAGTGCGTAACACTTTCTTCTACATCTGCAGTCTTCACCAATTTTCCTCTCATCCACAATATCACCTCTACTGTTCACATACGCCTTACCGGCCACCCTCAGTCGTTTTCTTTTCTCTCGTTTCCATTCTGAAATTGAAACATAAACATAACCTTACTAACGGTAGGCATATTGAGACTCTAGGATTCAAAGAGAGACTGAAATGTACGTAACAATCAAACTCGACAGCGTACAATTTTCAACTTAAAATACAATTTACATTAAATACTAGGCTTCTTGCATATGAATACCTACCAGAAGGATTCCTTGTCCGCTTTTTAACTTGTGTATTATTCTGCTTACTACCTTCTGCTTCTGCCATCTTGTTTCGAGTTTCAAACTCTTTGAAATTCTTGCACAAAGAGTGTAGAAGGGGATCTCACACTGTGTTTACTATCTTTGGCAACTTCCGTAAGACTAGAGAAAGAAAAACTGGCATGGCAGTAGAATAAAGACGTAGGTGTACAGAAATAACGGAAAAGTTACATGCTGCCTTCATAACTTATCAAATGGTTCCTGCTTATTTTTGAAAGGTTAGAAATATGGTCTAAGTGTCAAAGAACGTCCAAACACTGCAGAAATACAATAATATTTAGAATACAAATGGTTTCAAGTTGGCACTAAACGGTGTCAAGAGGTGGTCTAGTGTATTTTTAATGTAACCACAGTAAAAGGTATTTACGAACGATGGTGACCCTATATGAAGTTCTTGGATGCGACACTAATGCAACACACGACGAACTCAAAAGAAAATACCAAGAACTTGTGCTGAAGTATCATCCAGATAAGCAAGAGAAACACTCATTTTCAACAACCACATTCTTGCAAATTGATGAGGCATGGAAAATTCTTAGAGATCCGGAACGGAGGAAGTTGTATGACTGTCACTTGAAACACATGCAACTTACTGAGCAAGCCCTTATATATGCAACATTATCTGTAACTGAACTTGACTGGCATGAAGATAATTTAAACTACAGTTATTTGTGCAGGTGTGGTGGCATATATAGTATTGAACACTCGGAAATTGGATTGGAAGACTGTTTTGTGAATTGTGAGAACTGTTCTCTAATAATTCATATAACTTGTGACAAAAATATTTTGGATTGCCAGTGAAAATTAAATGTTTTATGACTGCACATAAAGTACACTATTATTTGTATTCTTAGGTATTTATTTTCCTTGAAACAATTATGCTAAAGGATAAAAGTGAGTGCCTACATGGCGCATAGTGGGACAGCTTTACTTTATTATAAAAATAAAAGTAAAGCTGCCCTGCTACATGCCATGTAGGTCATTTGGGGGGGGGGAGTGGAGGGATAGTTCCTACACCTCGGCACTACATAGGGGTGAGTGGTCAGCAACATGCCCTGGCCGTGCTTTACCCCCAGGAAAGGACCCTGCTGTCCATTGGATAAGAGGCTGGGTGGGCTCCATAGCTGATCTGGACGCAGAGGCTAGAGGAAAAATCCTTGGCCTGTCGGGGATCGAACCCAGTCATCCAGCCTGTAGCTAGTCACTATACTGACTGAGCTATCCCGGCTCATCTTTACTTTATTGTATATGTAGTAAACTAATGCTGGAGAACCTGCAAGCTGTCTGTAGTAGTCTGTTATTTAAAACTTGGCATTCTCATAGTAGTGAGTACAAAGATGGCTGTCTTCTGGGTTGTAGTGCTGTGTAGTCGGGCAGAAGTTTACTGTTTCAGAGGTCATTGTTGCCTCCATCATCAAGGTGATATTCATCAACCCAGAAAACAGATATCCTCTTATTAAAGACTTTCAGCTCTTAGGGCATCAAAGTTAAAGTCATGTGCATAGGCTGGGATCTGTAGTATAGGAAGAAGAATCAGTAACAGTCTAGAAAAGCTGAGTTTCATTTATTATACTGAAATTTCTCTTTAAAGTACATACTTAAAATTACTGTTTCAAATCATTTCATCTTGGCTGATACAAAAGGAAAAATCTTTAAACTCTTGTGTCACAATCCAGAAGAATAATATTATATCTAAGCTGCTGTGCAAACATAAGATCTCATAAGAATGTTGTATTGTTGGGAAGCACAAGTTACGTGGTAATTACTCATATTAACAATTGTAAGAACTGAAATAATTGTAACAATTTATATGAAGTATTTTGAATCATAAACATGACCCTTTCCAATATCATTATCTTCATAACAGTACTATGTGCATATGCATAGGTTGTATCACATAACATTACAATACCGCTGTGTACGAAATGTTGCAGTTACAAAAATGATATTATGCTATTTGAAGATGTTACACAGTGTACATTGGTTATGATTATTCAAGTTGCATAGGCTCATAAGACTTCTCTGGTATAGACTGCATGTGCAGCATCCTACTGTCCTAAAAAGGGTTTTAAAAATGACCAGTAATTCGTATTGAAATTCTGGTGAGTGTTACAATAGAATGGTACTGAATTTTTGCAACAATAAAATGAATTATACTCCACTATACACAGCTCCTGTAAGGTTTCACATCTTAACATCAATGACCTCCCAAGATGTTATCTAGGTCCCTCAATTCAAATTGTGCTTTAGAATATTCTTCAGTTGCTTAACAGGAATTGTATCTTATTAAATAATGTCTCACAACTTTGATAGTTGAAAGGACACTCTTAAGTAACAAACAACATTCCATTTCCTGTATCCAAAATCTGATTCACCATATTGTTTACATTAATTCATTTAATAATGACATGCAAGTTTCTATGCAACCAAATGTTAAGTACTTAAAAATATTTATTTTTATTTCTGTTTCTATTTTTGACATTGGTCACGGCATAAAAATTACTACCAGTTCGCTTTGGTTTCATTTCTCTTTCCATCCTCCTCCGTACCTTACTTGTCAACCAAACTGGCATTTTATCATCTGTTGCATCAGCCTTACTTTTCTTTCTTCTGTTAGAATACATATTCTTCCTCATACCTGTGACACAAAAGGCTCCACTGCTTGAACATGTTTGAGTGCTTGATTCCTTATCAGAATCACTGGAGCTGAACTGTGATTCAGATTCATCATCACATTCTTTAACCATGCTGGTAACTGAAGTTTCCACTTCTCTTGATATACCACTACTGGGTTCACCTACATCTGTAGCTGCTGTTTCTAATGTATCACTTATATCGGTCATGTTGCATTCTTGTTCAAGAGATTTCATGTTTTGTTGATTTAACTTTGTACCAAGATCTTCTGTATAATGTAGATTAACTCTAATCTTGCTGAAGTCTTGTATGACTTTGAATGCAGGTTCTGTAATTGTAGCTACTTGATCAGGAATACTCTTGCTTTCTGGATTTAAGAGCACATCTGCATTTAAATTTCTTTCCAAATTACAAATTCCTAGACTCACCTCTTCGGCATTATTAGCACCATTGCTTTCATTTGAAGACACATTTTCTGGCAATGCAGTGATTGTTGTAGCTGTGTTCTTTTCTGTACCATCAATTACTTGGCTTACCTTAGGTTCAGTGATCAGAGATGAAATGGTTCTTTCATTTAGAGGAACTTCATACCCAGGTGGAGGTATGTAAAATGGTAACTTGCCTCTTTGCCAATCATTAAGAACAATCCGAGCAGCAGTTGCAATATCAGGTTCACCGCCTTTCAATAGCTTCCCCATTCTTGTAGCTAACTTTTCTAAAAATCCTTGAGCAGAATCCCAATCATCTACTTTATATGTTTTCAACATATATTCCTTTTTTACTCTCTCAAGAACAGAAGGAATGTAGTCTTCAGGATTCTCCACCAGCTCTACCCTTACCACCCCTTTCAAAACCTTTTCAACATCAGTCTCTGCTGATGGGCACACTACTCCTGGGCAATCAATCAAGTAGATACGTCGCATCAGTGTAATATACTGCCATACCTTTGTTTCTCCTGCAATAGGTGCAACTTTGCATACTTTCTTAGATCGTAAAGTATTGATGACAGAGCTCTTTCCCACATTTGGATAACCAATAAACCCAACACTTATTTGCTTCTTATCAATATGTAATTTAGCAAACTGTCGCAGTAAATTAATCAGTGAGCCTTTACCAAATGGATGAGTCAATGATGCATGAAAAGCAACTGTTGGGTATTCTGAACTCAATATAGCGACCCATCTTTGGGTGACCCATGTAGGAACTAAGTCAACTTTGTTCAAAATAAAAATCAGATGTTTATGTGGTTTTTCTGTGCGCAAGAACTTCTCTATGTGTGAGGACCTTGTTCCAAGTGGATCCCGAGCATCCAGTACTTGGAGCACAACATCTGACGAATCGATCACCTTGTACAACTCATTCCAAATTCGTTTACTCTGACCTGCAGACATTATCCATTCTCTTGGAGCATCCTTTATACCCAAATCTTCTTTAACTAGATCCCTATCATTTTCACCATCATAAGCTTCAGATGATTCTACTGCACGGTGAGAAAGCTGATCCAGATTCCTGAATTTTAAATTGGGTCTTTTTCTTATTTTTTTAGGCCCAAAGACACTTTCAAAACTTTCAGTATCTAACAGATGAACTCTAGCATGCTTAGCTGTTTCATTTAGAAGAGTTACTGGCAGTTTAGTTGGTTTCATTACAACCTGATATGGGTTCTTAGCAGCTGCCCCTAACTCTTCCTGGAACTTCTGGAGTGCATTTTGTGTGATTACTCTGGAATTTCCAAACCATTTTTGATTAGGTTCTACTCTTGCAACAGTTCCTGATGGAAGTCTTCCCTGAAATGGAGCTGGACTGATTATCTGTCCAATTTTATTACGTTTTGGTTTAAAATTCCTGTACATTTGCAATCTCTTGATTGTAGATTTGCTCCGTACAACAGCAACACCTTTTAAGCCTTCAGATTTCCTTTCAGGGTTCATGCTGTGGCCATGACGATTTAAGCCCTGCTTCCTTGGTGCTTTTGATGCTGATTTTGTTTTTGCCATGTTCACCTTAACAGAGAAAGGAATATCTTCCATTATGTTTATTAAGTACATAATCCTTTTTGTTTGACAGTAAATACTCAGAATGTACTGCTTGTATTCTTCCCGTAGAATATGACATACGTTTTATACCTCGGTTTAGCAATCATCTCAAAAATATTAACAAATAAACTATTTCTGAAAGGAAAAACCCAATATGTATACTGTAATTCTTTCATATTATTGTTTTGCTTTAATTTACCTATTTCATTGAACTCCCCCCGGTAATGACATGTTATCAGAGGTACACCCAAAACCACATTCTTAAACCTTCACTACTATTCCTATTGGACCAGTCAAGTTAAAAAGTCATATGAATGGTAAGTAATGTTTTGAGAATGTATTAAAGAAATATTAATTTCATCAAGATTCAGTTTTGTAATACCACTAAGTACCCACTGCAAATTTTTCTGAATCTCCAAAACATAATTAAATCTTTTCTTCTGGTCTTCAATTTAATCTTGGGAAACAAGAAATTTCTGTGTGCAATGTCCTGACAGTAAGAACAGAATATTATTTGTTTACATTCCATAGATAATTCATAGGCCCCGGCCAAGGATGTAGAACATGTCATAGCACAAATACAATAACAACGGGAAAATAATGGTAATTTCCGGCAATAGACATAATTGAGGTTATGTTTAATGATCAGTTTGTTTGCTATTCGTTTGGTTCTTGCTCTTTTGGCAGTTTTATGTTTTATTATTTAAAACTGAAATGACTCGACGTTCTGTTCTCCATTTATTGCAAGGTCTCATACATACCAATAATTTTATCCGATGTTTCAGTACCAGGTCGGTATTATCCGATATATTGTACACTTTTATTCTGGGGCTATTAACTTCCTTTATTCACTTCATGAACTTATTTGTAGCACTTATAGTATAGGTTGTCCACTATGTTCCCATTTCTTGCTACGAACTGCAGTCTGAGAAGATACAGAATTCGGTCTGAAATCCTAACCACGTGGCCAAGATCATCTGCCAGTGAATAAATTATCTGTGCTTCTAATATTCTCATTATTCAGTCTGTTAACGTGAACGCACTAACATTAATATTACCTAGACAAGAAAAACTTGGTTGAGACAGACTAAATAAAATCCCTTTCTTTGTTTAACAGTAATAGTTCAAATGCAATAATTTAGATCCACTATTTGGAAAATACTCGATTGGATTTTCCTCATTAGTGGTGGGTTTTCATTCGTGGTATTGGTTAACCTGAGTACATGACAATTTTTTACGCTAATTTTCCGATTCATATTTCACTGAAATTTGTAGCTGGCTGTGCAAGTAAAACGAAATTTAAGTTCTTTTAATTTTTATAAACTTTCCAATAAATGATACTTAAATAAAACGTGAAATAGTACCTTTCTATTTCAAATAGGGGGTATTAGTTTTTGTCACCATATCTAGAATCCTTTTATTCCATGTTTTTAACAAACTCTCTTGACAGTATAATCCAAAACTAACATCAATATTACAAACGTCTTCATGAAGAACAATCCCATCCATCATTCCAATCCCAAAATTGGCAGGATTCCCCCCAAAAGAATACTACATATATAGACACCATCTGAGCTACATGAAGCCAGTCTTAGAGTAGAGAGTAGAGTTTATTTACATTACATAGATCCTTCTTATGACTCAACCAAAGGATGTAGAACATGTCATTTCATACAATATACATACACTTCAGAACTTTCAACACAAGTACAAGAACGTATTTCACATATCAATGTACATAAATTTCAGATTCTGCAATACAAGTATGAAAAATAATTTTACAAATTAATATACATACACCTGAGAATTTTAAATATAAATACAAAACTTGCTTTACATATACGTAGATTATGGATATAAAGCTTAAACATTTTCTTGTAGGTGGTTACATCTCACCTTAAGATACAGATTATATGAACCCCTGAAATACTGATAACCACCTACAAGACTACATAGTGTCACACTTCAGAAGATCACAATTGTCATCTTCACTTCAGTTCAACATAGGTAATAACGGAGTAAAATATCTGGAATAGATATGCTGACCACACAGAAAACACATCTCTTCATCATTACAAAGGTCAAATGGTTAATGGTGTTTAAGGAAATAACCACTGTTAATTACGGGATTCATATTAAACATATAAATACACTCTGTTAGCAAAATTCAGAATTATCGTGAGATTACTGATTGGTAAAGTTGGTTGTACTCTGGGCTTTAAAGGGTTAAAAAAAGAAACCATCAACACATACTGGAGAAAATATTTGTATGATGTGTAACAACAGTAATTTTTACAGGCACTTGTATTTACCTTCCTACCTCCCATCAGCCACTGAAATAATTTCCCACACTAACACAGTATGTCAGACAAACAAAACTGAATGCTGTTTGCGTAATCTCACCACATGAAATGTTACTCTCAGTCTCTTGTCTGCAGTACACAGAATATACAAAAAGATTCAGTGCCTAAGAGAGAGAGAGCACAAAAAGTGCACTAAATTACTTGAAAGTAGGAACTACTTTCTACACACAATTACAATTCTTGTTCAGAATTGCTTCCACAACAGAAAAGAGATAGCAGCCATGTTTCTCCTACCATAGCAGAAATACCACACACATTGTTCTTTGATGCACAATTACTAATAACATGTGATTCTATGGAAGGCAGTGTAGAACACCATTATTTTCAAAAATAAATAAATATGACACTGATTTGGTGAGGGCCGCAATTAAATTTTTAAACACAAAAATGGTGTGAATAACTGTTGTACAAAAGATCCCAATGAATACATAGAACTCGTCTTCCATAAGGGTGCCTGCACAAGTTATTATATACCTTTCAAAATAAAACAAACAAACTTAAATATATTCTGTTAAGCAGGAATCTACCTCAAATGACATTACTCCAGAATAATTTAATTGTGTAACTGGAAAATACTTCTAAATGTACTACATGTTATTATTTCAGATGGTATGCATCATAAGACAGTACCATACATAATTGTTAATTGTACATAAGTAGCTGTCTACTGCAGTAATTTAATTGCTGAAACATGTAGTAGAGAAAATTGAATAAATATATAATTACATTTTTGTGACTGATAAACTTCTATTAATCTTTATTGACTGTGTCCCATCTTATGTACAATCCAGACGGTTGTATGGCATATTAGCACACTGCTAAACTATTAATAATGAATACATTTCAGCCAGCCCCCCCCAGCATATGAGGTTCACATCTCCTATTCCAATACAATGAATGTAAAAAGTAAAGCTGTCCCACTACATACCATGTAGGCACTTGAGGGGGGGGGGGAGGTATAGCTCCTACTCATTCTTAACCTCAGCACTAGGTGGGGGTGAGTTGCTAGTGTCATGCCCCAGCTGCACTTTACTCCTGGGAAAGGACCTGGTACCCATTGGATAGGAGACTGAGTAGACCGGAGAGCCAGTCTAGACGCAGAGGCTAGAGGAAAAATCCTCTGCCCCCATTAGGGATCAAACCCAGTTGACCAGTCCGTATCCAGTCACAAAACTGACTGAGCTACCCTGGCTCAATCCCATATAGTAAAGGTTAATGTAACAAGTCTGACAAAATATTGGGTTCAATTCTATAGATTTGTACTACTAAGGACCCAATCAGAACCAACAGAAAATGCACAAAGCTGGAGAACATGTACATACACTAAATGCATGATATGAAGACAGGAATTGAAATGGTTCAAGATCACGTACAAAAGTTCTGTGATAGAAGAATAATACTTGAAAGCAAAGAGATTAGATAATGCCCATCAAGTGCTTGTTCATTGGGAATAAGAGACAAATTACTGTCTGCCTGTTTGGAGTTCATTAGTGAAAACAAAGGAAAACATTCTTTACTAATAATATGGATTTCCTTCAACATATGCACATTAAAGCCACATACACTCATATCTATCCTGGACATCAATATAGCATTGCATTTGGGGTATTTTAATCACCTTCAAACGATGGACCAGCACCAGGAGTACGGTTATGCTGTAAAGAATTCCTGTGATCCTCAATAAGAGCATTACCAGCTGACTTGGCCGTCACTTTGGCAATTCTTTTTGGGGTAAAGTGCCTGACATTTCTTGCTGCTACAAAGGCATTACCCATTGAATACAAAGTATTATCTGTTGCTTCAGCTACAGAATGTCCATACCTGGAAATGAAGGACAATTTTGGAGGTCTATTATGAACTTTCTTCATATATTTTATACATACATCATACATCTTTATTACATTCCAAGGATCCATAAGTTAGTCAGATGACAATAGGATGTAGAATAAGTCATAATAATACAATACATGTTATACAAATACAAGTCATACTAGGTTCCATGACAAAACCGCACAGAAAGAAGCTCACTGTCATGAATGCTCACACGAAAATTACTCACACAGACAAATGCTCACATGGACGAATGTCCATATTCACAATATTATAAGTAATCGGAAGCGTTAACTGGTTACCGTAGTAAACCGACGTTTATGAAGCTGATTTTTATTCCTTGTGTTGACTTACATATACATGTATAAGTCAAAAGTTCTGTTAATCTAATATTTATCAAACTCAAATATTTATTCCTACATGCATGCATATATACAGATGTGCTCAGCAGGTCATCAGAACTTCACCCATTTCTAGGTGCTTTAATGACACATTAATACTATTTAGTGTTCAGAAGGAAGAGAAAACATGAGATATCAGTGTTGTTCTTTTGGGTTGTAACACTAAATGGACTAGTAAGTAGACACCAATGGTTCACAGGAACATACTGCCTACATCTTCACCAAAGACCTTATCTACAATTCCACATGGCATTACAACCCACAAGATCAACATCAACAAGATGAAGAAACAACTAAGCATATCCTGAAACTACACTTTGGGGTGTGAAGATAAAGTTACATCTATTCTACAACTGTACACAGATGGGGATGGGTGGTCAGTTTTGCACTCAGGTGGCTTTAACTCCTGGTAAAAGAGTCCCCCTCAGTTGAATTCCAGTCAGTCTGGACATGATGGCAAAGACAAAAATCCCTGCCATAGAAATTATCTCATTGTTCATATCTAGTCATTATACTGATCAGATATCCTAGCTCTCTGAAGGATAATTATGCACAACTGGAAACACTGTGAGAGAAAAGCAGTCATGGTCTTTTATGGGACTACCACTATACTGACTGAGAAAAACATGAAAAACGACCTGCCTAGGTAGTTACCAGTTACTCAGCTGAAATAACAGATGGACAAACTTGTGTAACAAACCTTCTCCATGCCACATAATAATTTAAACAAGGTAACATACTTACTTATGATCCACAATCTTTACAGTATTGTTGGCCAAACTGCTTGCAAGAAGTCCTGCAGATTTTTCCAAACCATCATACACTGTACTAAACCCTTCAACAGCTCCTGCTGCCACTTCTAGGACCCCATCCATTTTACTGGAAGCTTCTTGCTCTGTTAAGTTGCATGTGGAGGACAACAACTTTGTACCTTGTCTCTGGATGTGAGGCGCAAGATATCGTCCAAGAGCCATTGTACAACTCCCAATTTTTGAGGCTAAAAATAACAATCTTATTCTCAATATAAAGTTTACCTAAAACCAATAAAACTGCAATAACAATGGTATCAATAGTATTCAACCTAATATTATAGGTTTTGCTTATTTGGAACATGTAGCCTGAAGACAAACATAAGTCTCTTACAGTGCTAACAGAGAAGTTATGATTTGTGAACAAATCAAGCCAAATCAAATGAGTTGGGTAGCTAAGTCAAGAATGAGTAGGAGCTATCCCCC